GAGAAGAGAAGAGAAGAGAAGAGAAGAGAAGAGAAGAGAAGAGAAGAATGGAAGGGAAGAAGAAAAGGAAAGGTAGTTGGAAAAGGGTGAGAAGAGGTCCATATTTCCATCCTATTTTCCAAAGACTAAAATTGTAGGGAAATTATGATGGTGAAAAAAATCAAAATCAGTTTAGAAGTGATCCTTCCATATCATCTTTTTAAATTTCAAATTTTGCTGATACATTTTGTTTGTTAATCACCTTCAATTTCAAATATTTCACTTTCCTTTCCTTACCCAGCCAGTCATCCTAATCAATCAAAGAAAGAAGCAAATGAGAGGGGAAAAGCAGCTCGGCAAAATTAAGCAATACATGAATTAACTATGACGATATAGTATGCATTGTTCCACATCCATTGCCACTAATTCTACAAAAAAAGGGAGACACATTTTTTTTTCCTTCTTTGGAGACAAGCTTGACCATTTTTATTTCATACTGTTTGGTTTCATTTTGTTATTGTTGATCTTATATTTATATTTTCAGAAAAGTATATATTTTTCTCGGTTCTGCTTACTTTACCCTGTGTCAATTCACAGAGAACTTCCCATGACTCTCTGAATTTTTTATTATTTCTTAAGGCACAATCATATTTCATTACCTTCACATACTAGAATTTGTTGAGCCATTCTCCAATTGATGCACATCAATTCTGTCTTCAGCTTTTTGCTACTTTAAATAGTGCTATTGTGAATATTTTATTCCACAAGGACCATTTTTTCCCTGTCTTCAATCTCCTTGGAGAAGTGGGAACCCTCAAAGTTTGTTTAATCTAACCTGTAGCTAATGCTTGAATTACCTTTATAATCCCCAAAAGCAGTCAAGTTTTTTCACCATGGCAAATATAAAGGCATACTAAATATTTGTAATCTTTCTATGTTAATATCTACAAATAAAAGGCAGCTTAGAAACGTTTAACAATAATTTATTTCCTGCCCTCCTATTTGTATCCTGATGATAACACAAAACAAGAAGTTTGGTTGGGGCAGCTAAATGGCCCAGTGGATTGAGGTCTGTCCTTTGAGTCAGGAGGACCTGAGTTCAAATTCGGCCTCAGACACCTGATACTTAACTAGTTGTGTGTGACCCTGGGCAAGTCACTTAACCCTGATTGCCTCATCAAAAAGCAAAAAAAAACCAAAACAAAACAAAACAAAAACAAGAAGTTTGGGAGTTACAGTAAGACAGATTTAAGTTCAATAAAAAGAAGAACTTAATAAGTAGAATTTTTTTTTTTTGAGGCAATCAGGATTAAATGACTTGCCCAAAGTTACGTAGCTAGTCAGTAGCTGAAGTGACCTTTGAACTCAGGGACTTCCAGACTCAAGAGTCAGTACTCTATCTACCGTACCACTTAGCTATCCCTATAAGTGAACTATTAAAACTAAGGAGAGGAAGGATCCCTCCTAACATAGGAAATTACCTATCACCTAATGTATTTAAGCAAAGACTGAATGACTTTTGACAGAAGAAATTCTTTCATTGGGCAAGGAATTAGACCGAATTCCTTCTATTTCTATGATTCAGACCTCATGCAAAATATATTAGTTCCAGTTTAAGGTAGTGAAATATTCATTCATTCATTCCCATTCCGCCTTGTTGGATTACATCCATGCCCTGCCCTGTGACCATGTGTATCCTCCAAGACTGTGTCCTATTATTTTTCCTTTCCTTTCTCTATATTCTCTCATTTATTTCATTAGCTTCTGGAGGTTCAATTATCTCTATGTGGATGATTTCTAATGATTTCCAGATTTTATGCATATTACATATATATACATATATCATATATGAACATTTATATCATGTTTGATGAATGTGGATGGGCATAGATCTTTCTCTTTCATTTGTATCTGTCATTATTCTCTTTCCTCTGAAGTGTCTCTCCTTCCTAACTTCCTATTTCCATCAAGGTTACCATGCCTTTCTATTTCTTGAGGTTTGTAACCTAGGTCATAGAGTTTGTGGACCCATATTAGGAAAGACTTTGTAAGCTAACCAGTTTATGTTTTTTACTAGAGGCAGTTGGGAGCCCATGGAGATTATTGAATAAAGAAGGAGCATGGTGAGATATGCTCTTAGCAGAATCACTTTGTCAATAGTGTGTAGAATGTCTTGGAATTGGAAGAGAATTCAGGTAGGGAGACAAAATCACAAGGCCACAAGGCCAATCTAGATGAAAGTTGATAAGAACCTGGATTAAGATGGTGGCTATCTGAGTACAGGAAAGAGATGGTTTGGGAGAGATGTTGTGGAAGCAGAAATGGCAAGATTTGGGATGGAAGTGACTGGTTAGATAATTTTTCACAAATTGTGAATTAGATATATCTGATCATAGAACGTGGAGAATGTGAGGGAATTTATACATTTGTCATGTTCTATGCTGATAAAAAAGAGAAAAGAAATCCTCAATTTTATACTCTCTGGGAAGTGCAATTTCCTCTGAGTGGAAGGGACACATAGGGGAGGAATGGAGGGAAAGAGATCTCTGTTTTCCTGGAATATAGAAACGAGATATTGTCCCTCGACCCATAACTAAGTCATTCATAAGAATAGTTAATAGGGGAAGAGTTTTGATATTGTGATATTGTGGCCAAGGAGACCTCAGGTTCACTTGGTCTTATACATAATTACCTGATGAGCCCTATCATGTTTCTTTGTGTTTTTTTTTTTTTTTATTTTGGAGGCAATGGGGGGTTACGTGACTTGCCCAGGGTCACACAGCTAGCTAGTAGGTGTTTGAGGCCAGATTTGGACTCAGGTCCTTCTGACTCCAGGGCTGGTGCTCTATCCACTATACCACCTAGCTGCCCCCCTACCCACCATGTTTCTTAATGATAATTTTAATCATTAATTTACAGTCTTGAAGTTAGGGAAATGTTTTGCAGTTTGAAAAAAAATAGTCACTCTATTCTTTCCCAGTTTTTTTATATTAAATTTCATTTATCTCCCATTTTTTCATATCTGGAGCAGGTTTCATAAAATGTAACTAATGGAAGGAACAGGAGGAGAGCCATTAGATAAACTTTTAAAAATATTCTTTTTTTTTTCCAACACCAGGGAACACCAACCAGCCCCATAAGTGAAGATGGTGTGGATTTCATCAGATGGTGGAAGCCGGGTCAGGGGAGGGGAAAGCATTCAATTTTTAACTAACAATTCTTTCTGAGTGCCAAGATCAGTCAGCTCTTTGCTGTTGAAATGTTACCAGTGCCTACTAAAGCTAACTATCCCGGGCCAAAGCACTCATGCCCCTATCTAGGTATAGCTCTCTTTCAAAAAGCTTTTCTTCTTATGCTTATAACAGCAAAACCCTCAGCTTAGTTTATAATATCATAGTTAGTTTTTTATTTTTTTTACCCCCATTTGGATTCCAGATAGGTTGCTTTGAGATTTCAGAAAACCTTAGCCATTCTGAAATACATTTTATATCTCTAGAAGAAAAACTTGGCCTTATTTTGTGCTGATTCCTGGGAGGATGAATACAAGGTCCTAGTTCCAATGCACTCTATTATCTTAAATGTCTTTGAAAGTATCTCTCACCTATAAACTTTCTTTTGGAGTGAATTTTCTTTTCATCACCACAGATATTCTTTCAGGGACAAAAGAATAAGAGAAATTTCTTCTATATAAAGAAAAAGTGGTTAAATGTGCAAGCTTAATACAGTGCTTGAAAAACATTACACCTACAGGCCTTATTAATTTTACACCCACGGGTCTGATTTTACTTTCCTAAAAACTCAACTGAAATGTCCAAGTAATATTTAATTCCTTCTTATCTATGGGTATGGCTGCTCTTAGACTCTGATCAAAGACTTCAATAGCAGAGATCACTCTCCCTTTATTTATTTCTTTTTCTTTTTCTTTTACAGTTCATTGCCTTCGCTTCTTTATTCTTCATCCTGGTTTCAATCACAACCTTTTGCCTGGAGACCCACGAGGCTTTCAATACCATTATAAACAAGACAGAACCAGTTATCAATGGCACAAAAGTTGTTCTGCAGTATGAAATAGAAACGGATCCTGCTCTGACGTATGTAGAAGGCGTGTGTGTGGTGTGGTTTACATTCGAATTTTTAGTCCGTATTGTTTTTTCCCCAAATAAACTTGAGTTCATCAAAAATCTCTTGAATATCATTGACTTTGTGGCAATCCTACCTTTCTACTTGGAAGTGGGACTCAGCGGGCTGTCATCCAAAGCTGCTAAAGATGTCCTCGGCTTCCTCAGGGTGGTGAGATTTGTCAGGATTCTAAGAATCTTTAAGCTCACCCGCCATTTTGTAGGGCTGAGGGTGCTTGGACATACTCTTCGAGCAAGTACTAATGAATTTTTGCTGCTGATAATCTTCCTGGCCCTAGGAGTTTTGATATTTGCCACCATGATCTACTATGCTGAGAGAGTAGGGGCTCAGCCTAACGACCCTTCAGCTAGTGAGCACACGCAGTTTAAAAATATCCCCATTGGTTTCTGGTGGGCTGTAGTGACCATGACCACTCTGGGTTATGGGGATATGTACCCACAGACTTGGTCAGGGATGTTAGTGGGGGCTCTGTGTGCTCTGGCTGGAGTGCTGACTATAGCCATGCCTGTGCCTGTCATTGTCAACAATTTTGGAATGTACTACTCTTTGGCAATGGCAAAGCAGAAACTTCCAAGGAAGCGAAAGAAGCATATCCCTCCAGCTCCTCAGGCAAGCTCTCCTACCTTTTGCAAGATGGACATGAACATGGCCTGCAATAGCACACAGGGAGATCCATGCCTGGGCAAAGACAATCTATTGCTGGACCATAACCGATCAGGTAAGACACAACACCAAATGCATGCCTCCTCTAGCCTTCCAGAACAGTATGTTCTGTAGGCATAAGACAAGAACCTCATTTTCTGCAAATACAACCCAATTCCCAGTCCCCTCTCCTTACTACTGTTCCTGAATGTGCTAGGCTTCTGAGAGAGGCAAAGTTGAAGCCTTCTTAAGCAAATACTAACTAGACTTGCGCATAGCTGGCCTATACAGTTTTCTTGCTTCGGAGCGAATGCTTTTTGCTGATGGTGCCAACCTTTTCTTTTGCCTGTCTCTCCGTCGGTCTTGTGCCAATGTTTCTTTGTGTTCTTGCACGATGTGATGGTATGAATATCTTGCCATGTTCCTCATTGTTAACCTCCATGCCATTCTGCTCGGTGTGTTTGTCTCTTGGGTCAGCTTTACCTCAGTCACTCGGTGGCATACATTATAAAAAAAGTTACACCAAGCCATCGTTTAAAAGCAATGGATGCTTACACTGTAGAGGCCTGAATCCCAAAGAAGTCATATGGAAAGTTGCCCTCTAGACCTCTAACCCTGTAGCATTTGTATGACTAACTTAAAATGGACATCATCCTGGAGTTAAGGACAAGCATCTTATCATATTCATTTAAAAATTTGTATGTTTTAATTCCATTATTAGGGTTTTCTTTTTTTTTTTTTAACATGCTACCCATTTAGATTGTTTCCCTCCCCTTTCAAAGCTGACTATAAATGATTTGTGAATGATTTACAATTCTGGACTATCTCTACTGCTTTCCCCCTCTATATTTTGGAAGGGAGAGAGACAGGTCTAGACTCATGATTTTATTCACATAGACAATCTAGTGGCTGGAAACTCACTATTCCAATATAGATGAGCAACTCACCACTGCCTTTAAGTTTTATAATGTTACCTATGGTATTGAGAGGTTAAATTAGAAGCAAGAATTGAAATGATATCTTCTTGACTCTAAGACGGATCATCTGTCAGCTGTACCAATGGTCCTTAAAGTATGGTCTGGGGACCTCTGGGGGTCCCTGAGACCCTTTCAGGGGGTCTATAATGTCAAAACTATTTTTATAATACTGCTAAAATATTGATAGATATAACTCAAGTAAACAAAAGTTCTTGGGGGGGGTTCTAAATAACTTTTAAGAGTATAAAGGGATCTTGAGACTAAAAAGTTTGAGAACCACTGGACTATGTCCTTCTGCCCTTCATTCTCCCTCCATTGATGTAGATAACTCAGAGTCAACCAACAATATGTTGAAATACAGTTTATTGAGATGGTAGACAATAGGTTTATCTGTAACTATTCATTTCTTATCCTGGATGAAATATTTTGGAGGTTAAATTAGTTAGCCTATGAAAGATTTTCAATCTTATAATATTTTTACAAACAGATCACTTAAAACCCTTTCTTGTGCAAAGTGGATTAGGATGATCCCATATAAACCATTAGTCTTAATTCAGAAATTCAATAAATAAAGCTAATGAAGAAAAAAAAAATCAAATGCTTTTTAGTGGCCATGAATTTACTTGTGAGCACCCAGGCACTTACATAGGGCTGATGGAAAATAAGGACATGTATACACATATACATATATACATATGCACACATATATGTGTGTTTGTGTATAGATTCATCCTGGTACTGAATAGCTGCTTGAATATTTGATCGAATGAATATCAATAGCTCTGAACATTCTTTCTAAATAGATTTCTGAAAACAAGCCTATTCAAAATGCTGGTAAGAATTGTGGCTTGTAGTTCAAATGATAGTTCTTATAGGACAGTTCTCAGGAAATACCTCCAAGATATTCCCATGAAAGGGAATATAAAAGAAGCCATGCACTCATGAAAACAGAGCTAGTAAACAGAGCCTGTGTGCATGCTGGCAAAGCCTAGGAGTCCTTGAGAATTTGATGTAAATCAACAAATCTATACTTCTAGGACATCTTGAGAAGCTGATCTTTCCTGTTGATTTCCTTGGATAGCTCTGTTTTAGAGCTTTAGTACTGAGCATCCTGGTTTTCTGCTCAACGAGACACTGTGAAAAACTTTAACTATAGGAAAACAATAAGGTGTCAGTGGAGTCCTAGCCCAAATATTTATATTCCATCCCTTCCCTAAACTGGTAACCCTTTCTAATGTATTTTCATTTACATTAAAGTCATTTTTTCTTCACACAATGAACATTACCACTGAACAACATGTCAAAAAGAAGATTATCAGCATGGTCATAGTCTATTCCCTGAAATTTATTTCCTATTAGACTAAATCTCCAAAGGGAGCAGAGATGTCCCAAGAGGATCCTCTCCCTCTCTCAATTTAATGATATTTACCTTTTGCCCTATTTAAATGATTGTGACTAGAGATGAAAATTCATTTCCTTTTTGTATCATGAATTGATTACTGTGTTTTGTATTGAGTGACTGGCATATCTGGCAATCAGTGTAAACCTCTTTGTGCTGTGTCATTTCTTCATTCATTACTGTCTGTAAATGGGCATGATGCTTTGACCAGTGTTATCAGGTGAAGACAGTGCAGGAAGTGAGCAGCCATTGTCACCCCCTGAAAGGCTTCCAATGAGACGCTCTAGTACCAGAGACAAAAACAGAAGAGGGGGAGCCTGTTTCCTACTGACCACAGGTGATTACACGTGTGCCACTGATGGAGGGATCAGGAAAGGTAGGAATGAATTTTATCAGCTTCTGGAGGGTCATTCACCAGTTAAATGCTGAAGAAAAGAAATGAAATGGAAATGGATTGCTTTTGAGGACAGACTGCATCTAGTTCAATGTACTTTTTTCCCCCTTTGACCATCTCCATTGTTTTTTCCTTGCCAAAAACATCATCTTCATCGTCATTATTATTATTATTATTTTTGCAAAGCCTGCTTGGTGTTGCATTTGAGAGTCATTTCACTCTTTTTCTTTTTAGACTTCTTTCATTTTTTATTTGTTTGTTTGTTTAATCCTCTCTCTTATGAGCAGGGTTATAATGCAGGGGTGTGCTGGTAAATGTTTAACATGTGGCAGTCCAGGAAAAAAAAATACAAACACTTTTAAGTTTAATCTGCATTATTATTAACATTTTCTCCATCACTTTCTTAAGTTGAGAAATAAATGAAGCAACTGAAGTTTAATTTGTAGCATTTAATGATTTCTGAGGTATAAATTCTCATACAAGACATTTAACAAACAGCTCTCTGAGCTGGTACAAGCTAGCTTCAGCACACCCCTGAAACTAAAACTTTTTTTTTTAATTTAATCACTCATCATTTCTTTAATGTGATCACTTCAGAAGTCTTAAAAATTTACCAGAATTTTCTCATGACAATATCTATTTAATTTAATGTAGAGTATCTTTCAATGATAATTGAAGGATATTGAGCATTTTTTAAAATGACTGAACATTTTCAAAGAATCAAAATAACTAAGTAGCTTCCACTCAATTTGTGCAGCTGCTGCCTCTGGTTTACATGAGAATCACAAGTTTTATGTAATAATAAAAAGACTACTTTGACTAATATATCTAAGCACTCGAATAGTGATTCTAATACCTTTATGAAATAGAATGATCTCAAGAGAAACAGTAGAAATTTTCCATTTCCTTATCAACTAGGGACTATTCTTGAAAATATCCTTTAGATATCATCAGGCATTATCATCTATGGATTTATGCCATTTCTCCTGGTAGATCAAAATGAAAACAATAATGACAGGAATATGATTTTCCCTCATAACAGACATTTCTGTAAGATAGGGAAACTATGTGAATAGTTTAATTCAACTCCATCTCATATTTCTTTCAACTATAACTTAGCTCTGCCTCTGCTTATGACTATTTTTAGAAGTGTCTGACTCTTCTAAACATCAGTATAATTGTCCTTTTTTTTCTTTTTAAATATATCTTTGAGTCTGCAAATACAGATCAGCATTTCTACTCTGCTTTTGCCACAATCTTGGTCTATACATCGTATACTCCATACTATCACAACTTCAATTTTAATTCTTCTACTTGTGCATCTATATCAATATGTATACATGTACATATGTACCTTAAAAATCTGTATGCATGTATATGCATTTGGATATGTTTCCTTTTAAGAGAAAAAATTATCTGTTTAAAGGTTGAACATTTTTCTGTGACATTAAAAGAATAGGAAAGAAAATTAATGGTATCTTGCAATAAATTATTAAACAATTGATTAATTAATATTAAATTGATTTCTCTAAGAAAAAAAGCTGCACAATGATTGTCTTTTAAAAATAATTACATTCATATAGTCATTTCAGGTGCTTATATTTTTATCTATTTTTCTTTATTTCTCTAAAGACTTGCTCCGGGTTATCCTCCATACTCCCTCCCTTGCCCATTCTTTTTTCATTTCTCATTACATAGTCTATATTCTTCTTTCTATTGCTTCTACTTGCCCAGTCTTGGCCTATCTCTTTGTCTCCTTACTCTGGAGTCTTATTTTGAAGAAGAGAAGCTTTTCTCTAATTTCTAGAATGCAGGATATGTTTTTGATTTATTTTATCTCTCCCTCCCCCCAGATCTCCCTTCTATATCTGCATCTTAATGTGATGTGAAGTACATTTTACAATTATTTTAGTAACTTCTCACTATGTTGCTATTTAACATTTAAACATGATTTATTTATCAAGAATTTTGAGATATTGTATATATATCTATATCTATATATAGATATATATATATATCTATATATATATAATACTTAAATTGTGATATTTTAAATTGCATTTCAGCCCTAGAGTAACATAGATTTAGGAGTTTTCTCCTTTTTCTTTCTCCTTTTTTTTCTTTCTCACAGACTTTCTTTTTCTCTTTGTGTCATTTTGTCTCTATCTCCATCTCTTCCTACTATCTCTATCTCTCTGCTCAGTTTCAGTCTTGCTCAATTTCTGTCTCTTTCTATCTCTCTGTCCCTGTATCTCTGTCTCTCAATCTCTCTGACCCTCTGTCTCTCTGCCTCTCTCTCTGTCTCTGCTCAATCTTTCTCACTCTTTCTGTATCTCCCTGTCTCTCTGTCTCTCAAAAACCTACTTTTAATACATATACCAAAGTTTACATGTAAAAATATTTCACTTTAGCTTTTCTTTCTTATGCTAGAATATTTAAAATTTTTAAATCATGAAATGAAATAGTGGATGTGGGTGTTTTGCAAAGCCTATTTTGCCAATATAAGGCATTGTTATTATTCATTTTGAAAGTACAAAGCTGCATGCATAAGATATTGAAGGATGGTTTCCATACATGTAGCAATTCTGTGCCCATACTTTCTCCCTGAATTGTATTTCCCTTCCTAAATGAAACTATCATTTGAAAATCTGATCTCCATCTTTTTACTTATCACCTCAATTGATGAGTTTCCCATCCATGGAATAATAGAAAGCACAATAAATCCAGCGGCAAAGAGTCCTGGATTCAAATTCTGATTCTACCACATGACTACCTGTGTTATGTTAAGCAAGTCAAATACATGACCAAAAAGTCCCTTCTAGCTCTGAATCTATGAGCTTATGATTCATTTGCCCCCTAAGTCTAGTAACATCTACTTTCTTCTCTTAGACTCCTCGGTGTATTATCCTCTCCTCATCTTGATATGGGTCCTTTCTTCCCTCTCTCCCTCCCTTCTTCTCCTTCCCTCCTTTACCCTTTCCCTTCTTCTTCCTTCCTTTATTCTTTTTTTTTCAGCCCAAAACAAGGTTTATTAAAAACCCGCCATATAAGCCAGACTCTTAAGGAATCTGAGCATCTGTGACCTATTGGCTAGATTGTAAAAATCTGAGCAGTGGCTAGATTATAAGAATCTAAGCACCTTAAAGGAGACAAAATGGACCTTATATACAGAAAGGTTGTGGGAGGGATCTAGGAGTGGCCAAGTAGTTTGAGAGAAAGGTGAGGTAATAGAATGCCAGGGACCAGGACAACATGGCCAAGGGTGAATGGAGTGTAGCTAGGATTAAGGGTGGAAAATGTCCTGGGACCATAGGAAGGTAAGAACAGAGGTTGGGTTTAGCCACAATGAGAAGCTAGTTGAAGGGATTACAGCCTCAGGGAACTGCCAGAGATTTGGCCATTTGGGAAAGTCCATGGTTTTTCCTTTTTGGGGTCTAGATCCCATCCTCATCATTCCCCCCTCAAACAAATGGGGCCCAAATTCTTTTGGCGTAACGGGCGAAGATCTTGGCTTCTGAAACTGCTTCCTGCTGGCAAGGGGTATAGAGCTATCCTTGCCTGGAGGGGGTACCAAAGAGGAGGTTGACTGGAACCAAGCACAGGCTGCATCCAGGGAACAATAGGGGGACATTGACTGGTTCCCACTGTTTACTTCCAACTGAAGTGAATGGCCTGTAGTCTGGAAGACACAAATCTGACAGAAAAGACTGCAGGGCCCAAATGACAAGATAAAACAACCTTAGCTCTGTTTGGATTCAGATAATTCAGTTTTCCAACCATGCTGTATCAAATCCACCTCATAGCCAGACTCGAATAGCCAAGTGGGTAACATTCCTTTTCAAAGGAACATAATGGGGAAACTGAACCAGGAGGATCCCATCTTAGACTGAGGCTAAAATTGTCCTCTCAACTTTTCCCAATGCTGACTTCCCACCAGTATTGCATTCTCTCTGAGTAGCTTGTGGCATTTCTCTCAGGTGGATTATTGATTATCAATGGATTATGACCCATCAGACAACTCAAAATAAAATCCTATGAGTCTTTACCTCAAACAGCAAGTTTCACTAATCACAGTTTAGGAAAAATCCTTTTCTAGGATATACATCTCAAATTTAAATTTGTCCTGATATAAAAAGCCAATCATTAGAGATTATTCCTATATAATTGCAAATTCTTAGCAAGACAAAACCCAAACAAGCTTTTTGGCAAGTTTACACATTGAAACAATAACTAACAAGAGCCAAATTATTTTAGCGGTAACCAAATTATGAAAAGTTGCTTTGATGCGGTTAAGAAGTTTAGCGGTGCTAGCACCCCAAAATCACAACATGTGGGTCCTGCCCGAAAGAATTTGACCCAAGCCTTCTTTCAGCCAAAGACAAGGTTTATTAGAACATCCATCATATTGGGCAGACTCTTAAGGAGTCTGAACATTAGTAAGCTATTGGCTAGATTATAAGAATCTGAGCATCTTAATGGAGACAAGATGGACCTTATATACAGAAAGCCTGTGGGAGGGGCCTAGGAGTGGTCAGTAAACTGGGGTGAACAGAACTCCTGGGACCTGGACCTTGTGGCCAAGGGAGAATGAATCCTAGCTAGGATTAAGGATGGGAAATGGCTGGGAGGCCACAGGGAGGTAAGACAACGGACGGGAGATTGGGTGTAGCAGCAATGAAAGGCCAGTTGATGGGATTATAGCCTCAGGAGAAGGCCAGACACTTGGCCATGTGGGGAAGTCCAGGGTTTTTCCTTTCTGGGGCCCAGTTCCCAACCCTATCAGCTTGACATAACTGATACAAAAAGTTCACCAATTTGAAACTTGAAACAAACCCATTACTAATCAGGTGACTTCAATTTTGTTAAATGCATTTCCAGATTACTTTACCCAGAGAATCAACATCTCATCATTAACAGTTAAAACTACAAATTTAAAACAGTGTGCTTACCCAAGTTCAGAGGCCAGGTTCTTTACCTTGAGCAGGATATGCTGAACCTGGGTGATGCTTCCAGGCAAAGGTTGCCCCAGGGCCCAAGGCCATTGCCAGTGGGGCCCAAACTGTAGCTGCTGCCCTTCCCCCCTCCTTCCTTTCCCCAGGTTGGGGAGGGTGAAATCAAAGGTGAGGGGGAAAGGGTGAAACTCTGTTCTCCTATGAGAGGGGTTAACAGATAGCCTTTTGACTCAAGGGAAGAGAGTGACCAGGGTTGTAAGGAGGAGTTTCAAAACTCCTTAATAAGCAATCATAAAACCTCCAGAATCTGCCAAGATATTTTTAGTTGTTCTAACTTTTCCCTGTAACCTCCATGAAGGGAGGGAGGGAGTGGAGAGGGAAGGGAGTAAGCAAGCCTCAGGGAACCAAAAAGCAACTGTGGTTTTCTTCCTGCCTTCCTTCCATCTCTGTTTCTCTTTTTTCCTTCCCTTCTTCCTTCCTTCCTTCTTTCCTTCCTTCCTTCCTTCCTTCCTTCCTTCCTTCCTGTCTTTCTTCTTTAATTCCCTTCTTTGTTCCCTCTTTTTTTCCTTCCTTCTTTCTTTCCTTCCCTCCTCTCATCTCCCTTCTCTCCTCCTTCCCTCTCCTTTCATTCTTGCTTTCTTTCTTCCTTCCTTCCTCCCTCCTTCCTTTCTCCCTCCCTCCCTTCATCTCTCCCTTCCTTTCTCTTTTTTCTATTCATGTATTTTTAATTGGTTGTAATATCTAATAATCATTTCCTTTTCTGTTTTTCTCTCACATTTCAAAGTGGTTTCTATTGTTTGATCTTAAACAAGCAGAAACCTAGCTCTCTTCCCATCTCCAATTTGACTGAAAAGTTTCATCATTGCATTTTTGAGGTGTTCTTTTTTATGTCATTTCAAATAGTAACATAAGTATACCCCATTTTAAGAAACCCTGATATAGAAAAATGTAAACTTGCAAACACATGGAGTCACCTCAGTCTGTCTTTAATAATGAAATCCTCCCTGTCTTTAAATATATGTGGATATTTATGCATAGGTTTTAAAGAAGACATATTGTATAGATAAAGGCATATTTCTATGTAATGAGTAATGGTTTTCTAAAATTTAGCTTGATTAAACAAATGTTATTGAGTCCTAAATATTCAAGCTAAGATTTAGGAGGAAGGTGGAATTTCTGAATCTTACAGAACCTCAGTTCACCTCAGGTCTGTTGTTGAATATGCTCAGAAACATAATTTCCTCTGGAAATTAGATTAAAAAATTGTTGTAGGCAAAATTGCTTATTAAAGTTTCTTATCCAAAATAAAGCCTGTTGAAATAAAATGAAACATATGTGGCCCAGATGCATTGTGGAAAATATAAGTTTCTTAAGTAATCAAATATTTGCTTCTAAATATGATTGAAAACCTTTAGTGAATGATAATGAAATTGATTCAAATGACATTATTTATAGAATGAACTGATAACTCTTTTGTTAATAATCCTATTACAGAGGAATAATTATGATTAAGAAAAGCACATCAGTATTTTAGCATATTATAGACAAGTTCTCCTGAGTAAAACTGTTACTTTCTAGGACAGTCTCCACATTATCATGAGGATAAAATATGAAAGTTTATGTAACATTGTATGAGACAAAAATGTTGCAAATACAAAAAGTCATGATTTATACAACTTTCCAATATGTTTGCCTGTTTAATATTGTAAATTAACCTTGGGAGACAAAAAAGCTGTTTCATTTGTCCTGAAGTTATAAAAATGATGATAAGAACTCTTCAGTCCATAAACTCCCTGTTCTAAATAGAGAACAAAGACTAGTGTCTGAGGCAGAGAAAGTTAACAGGAAGGAAGACATACCTACCATACACAAATATGGAAATCAAGAGCAATGTCTATAGTGTTAATTACTTCTAATGGCATTCTTAAAGGATTAAAAAAAATCACAAAACTGAAAACTTTCAAAATTGGAGAGGACCTCCACAGGACTTTTGATCAAACTCATGGGGTCCATTAAGTTTAAAAAAAAAAAGACATTTTGACAACAATATTTCATAGTTGAGTTCTTTTTTAATTCTCTATATTTTATTCTATTCATTTACATATATATATATATATATATATATATATTTAATACACACATACACACACACACACACATTTTTTTCTGTGATGAGCTCCCTAGGTTTCACCTGTCAGAAGTTTCAATGACACACAGAATGGTTAAGACCCCCTGCTATGGAGACTCATCAAGTTTCTGTTTGAAATCGTCCAATGAGAGGGAGTCCTTTCTTGCAAGCTAGCCCATTCCACTTATGGGCAGCTCTAAGTGTTAGGAAAAGGAGAACACCACGTATCATCCTCTCAGTCCCTGAGATGGAATCCTGATGGTTAAAAATGAGCTCATATTACCCTTCCGTAATTCTTGAAGAAAATCTACCATTTGGTCATCTATAAGCAGAACTGAAAGTCAAGTCCCCTCCAATGTTTAACTTAGAGCAGCTGAGATCCAGCATTTTCAGCAGAATTATTTATTGTGTTCCTTACCACAAGTTGATGAATTTGAAAGTGCTAAAGCAACTTAAAATTTAATTTTTATTTTGGGGGGCACATTATTGGACCTGTAGTTTCATCATTGTATATGTATATATATATATATATATATATATGTGTGTGTGTGTGTGTGTGTGTGTGTGTATACACATATACATATACTTACATGTATGCATATACACATACTACATATGTACATACATACATATATACATACACACACACAAATATATATCCAAGTGTGGAAACTCCTTCCACTGCTATAGATAGACAGTTCATCTATAATTTAGAATTACTTGGGGGAAATTGTGAGGTTAAGTTATTTGTCATCATCATATGGCTAATATGGGGGGCAGGTCAGTCTCCTGTCTACCAAGCCAAGCAGTAGCTCAAGTGGTTATTCATAATTATTTTGTTATTAGCAATGATTATGCATGGTTCTTCCCCTAGCAGTGGCTTTTGTCTTGAATGAGGTCCCTAATTTAAATGGTTTAACTTAAGTGTAGCAGATATTATCAAGGATGACACCTTTCAGGAGTCTAAGAATCCCAAAAAGAATCACAGGATATTTGATATCTGTATAGTGGGCAGATGGAGAATTTTGTAGAACTCTACAAATGGCAAATTACCTAAAGTATTTCTCAGCACCTGTACCTTTAAGTATCCACTGGGGAATTCCATCTTCCTTCTCCACCAGCATTTTTTTCTTAAATAGAGGTAGTTAAAATACATTTTTCCACTGGCAAACTTGAGCCAAGTAGTTAGTTGGAGAGGGAGAGAGAGAGAGAGAGAGAGACAGAGACAGAGACAGAGACAGAGACAGAGACAGAGACAGACGGAGAGAGACAGAGACAGAGACAGAGAAAGAGAAAGAGACAGAGAGAGAGAGAGAGACAGAGAGAGAGAGTGAGAGTGAATTAGTTGTTCTTGACATCGAGGAGCAACTCTCCTCTGACAAAATCCTGTCCTCCACATCTCCAATCTGCTTCTCTCTTCCCACTCTTTACCATGCCTCTTTATCTCCCTGAAGTGGATGAATGTTGACAAAAGTCACTTTTGACAGGCAAGAAGACTGTATCAGTTGGTTAGCGAAATATACTGGACAGCCAGAGACAATGAAAAGGAACCCTTTACTCCACTAACTCCCTACACTTGAATAGAAAATAAAAATCATTTTTTGAAGCAGGGGAGGTTGACAGTAAGGGGGGACAAACTAGATTTCAATTAGATTCCTTATACACTTTGAGGCTAATCTGTAGACAGTACACCACTAAACACAAGCTGTATTTCATTAGATACAACAGTCTGATTTAACATATTTTTTTTTTTTGGAGGGAGGAGGTATGTGTAAACATTTTTTCTTTATGTTCCCTGGATGATGACATCGAGTGCTATTATTTAACATTCAAAGTACATCATCCTTTCTAATTTCTGACACTTGAAGATTAAATATTTGGGTTAAGTGTTCTCAGTTTTCTGTTTACATTTTCTTTATAATCTTGCCATGGAGGTTAGTGCATAAACAAACAACTATGTTAAGTGAATGATTGAAGTATTACATGAGTCTAGAAATAGCCTATTGTTTTTTTTTCTGCATTTCTTCCCCTAGAAAATGTCCTTAAAGCAACCAACATTTTGATCCAGTGTATAGCTTTTTTAAAATAATGTTTGCATATTCTTAAGAGAACTTTGAATGCCCCATGCACCAAAGTTAAATCAACACTGGAGATGGTCTGAGGAAAGATCACTTTAGGACTACATTTTCAATACAATTGGGTTGGCTTGAGTTAATTGCATTTGAGTGGCAGCTAGAGGGAACTTCACTTTTTTTAGAGTTACAAATTGCCTCGATATGGAGTTCTTTGTAAACAACTCTTCTTGGAGCTCAAAATAGTGCTTTTGATTACCCTGTTCTGTATTGTTTGTCTGTGTCTATTTTCTGGTTGAATTCAACTGATGTCTGTGCATTCTTTCATAAAAGGATATGAAAAATCCAGAAGTTTAAACAACATAGCGGGCTTGGCAGGCAATGCTCTGAGACTCTCTCCAGTTACATCACCCTACAGCTCACCTTGTCCTCTGAGAAGGTCTCGATCTCCCATCCCATCCATCTTGTAAACCAAACTGCACCAGGAGGCTAAATTGCATCAATTCAAGTACCGTTTACCACATAATGGAAATAATTAAATGTAGCATTGCTATAGGCTCCATTAATATAATAGAAATCCTGCATGATACTACTATTATCAGAAGTCAGAAATGCCACTTGGGTAGCTAATGAGTCCCAGCTTGACTCTCCAGATTATCTGAAGTAGTGCTTCTCTTCCTCCTCTGCACTAGTTTTCTGGCAATTGTTTTCTGGCAATAAAGAGACAGATAGTGTCAGATATTGGCCAGTATATTCAATAAAATAAGCATATTTTCAGGGAGATCTATTTAAACCAATGTGCTTCCAAATGACTACCACTCCATTGGACCTACCTTCATTTCTTGTGATGCTCTAATTCATTCTGAAGATGTCTGGAACACTGTCTTGATTGCACAAATTATCAATATGACTTTGGTCAAATCATTTGCATGGACCATCCGTCTCCATCACCTGAAAGCAGTGTTACAGTATATGAAAATCCTGGGTGACTCTGGATGCTTTTTGTTGTTTTTTTTTGTTTGTTTGTTTGTTTGTTTTTATTTTTTGTTTCTTCCACATTGAACCATCCTGCTGATGCAAAAGCAATGGGCAATGGTTCGCATGTATAATTGTGGGGTGGAGAAGGGAGGAGGGAAATGAAGGGCCAGGGAGGAGGGAAGGGTTTCTCCTTTCTTTTCTCTAATCCTTTGAAGGAAAAAAATATATATATTTTAGATGGTTTATTTTTTTAAGTTGCTTTTTATCTTCTAAAATGCTGTAATGGAGTTCTGAATGTCTGGTTGTTTGCACACAGATAACTGCAAAGAGGTTGTCATTACTGGTTACACGCAAGCAGAGGCCAGATCTCTAACTTAATGACTTGGGGAAGGCACAAAACATGAGAGAAAGGTAAATGCCAGCCAGGCTTGCATTTTTTTGATTTTTTTTTTAAGCCAGGAAAGGCTACTTGGTACCACAGTCATTTTTTCCCCTGTCCCTTCAACATTTTCAAAAGAGGCCTAGGGCCAAGTCATAACCCAAAGGACTTCTGCTCCTTTTTTAGGGGATGGAATGGGGGTGGGTGCAAATGTAGAAGGGCAGAGGTCTTTTAAAGAATTTCTTTGACCAGCCTTAAATCTGTGACCTACTAGGTCCATAAGAATTTCAGGCAGTGTTTTTTGCAGGTGCTTCATTTCCTGTATGTTGTTTCTGTCTGTCTGTCTAACTACGTGTCTTAATTGTAAACTTCATCTGTCTCCATAAAGCACAGAGATGCCTTAGGGGGAAAAAAGGCTTCCATCATTTAGTCCCAGGTTTTCTCCTTTCCCCCTATTCAGTCCAGCCACCATTCTTCATATGCAAGTTAATAATGTCCTTTAGACGACCTACCATGCACTATGATTGGTTTTGATAAGCAGGGTTTAAGTAGAGGTTTTTGTTTTTGTTTTTTAAACTTTTTGCACTCGGTTGCCGGCTGGAATGTCAGTTCTGCTATCTAGCAACCAACTTTCATCACTACACTCCAACTAAGCCTCCAAGGAATCAGATTTAGTCTGTGAGGAATAGAATCTGTTTACCCATCACTATGAATGAAATAGCAATATCAGATCTGGTGTTTAAGGATGATGGGGTGGGGAGGCAATGTTTAAAAAAAAAAGGAGTAAATAATTCCTTTTGAGGCAGACAATATCCCTGGCATTGTTGAATAATACCTGCTTCTCGTATGTTTATTTTTGTTAGGAACACAATGACCACTTTTCTTGTTGACCATGTAACATGTATTAATTAAATTGATATGTGTGAGCCCTAGAGCATGAACTGCATGTCAGAATCCTTGTACAAAAGTGTATTTATCTAAACATACATTTCTGATATTTAGAGATGTACATTGATGAATCTTGCTCATGTCACCTGTAAACAGATATAACTATCAACAACTTTCTAGCAAAGGAATTAATACACTGTCTGGTGCTGCTGTTGTCGACCGCAGTGTTGCCCAGACTATTTCATGGATTTTTGACTGCTGACAAAGGACAATGGAATTTAGCCATATCAAGGACTATACTGGAAAGAGACTACTCTTGCTGCTGAATGGGCCCCGATAAGCATGCCATGCCTTGAAGAGGTCGCTACATCTTCACTTGGATTTAAAGATGACTAAAGGACCATGGACTGAACTTGGTGCTGCCAGTGTGAGAGGGCTGCCAGTGAACTAGCCAGTGTTGATGAACCCATTGTAAATAAATTTTAAAAAAAGAAACACACATCGTGCATGGGATATCAGCTTTGGTCATCTCACATCAAGAGTAGCTGAATTTGTGGTCATTGATGGCCTCTTAGGCCACTCGCAAAGGCCCAAGCCTCTATGTATTTCCTCATGGGCCTCTCCCCACCCAGTAGGTTGTGCTGTGAATCAAAGACACATGCAGTGATCTTAGTTTCATGTATATCTGTCTTAATTTCCCACACACTTACTATTTTTTTTTTTTTGGTAAATGATTGGTTCTTAAACATTGCCCCTATTGTTTTGTTAGAAGCCATTGACATGATTATATTTGTTAATTATTTTATAATTTCTAGTGTCTATGAAAACACGTCTATTTTCTTTTTCATTTATTTGAGAAAACAACTGTTATGGCTGGAAAAAATGTCACTAACCTTGTTCATAGTATGAATCTTTTTCATTGTTACCTCAAGAATATAAATATGATGAAAAATAAAATTCTGGCAAGTGAGAATATTTTTTTATTACGATAATCATGGAGCAACATCAGTAAATAGTGAAATATGTAATCAAATTATATCTTAAAATGTATATTTTGCATAAGAGAGATATTCTTTGATGAATTATTCTTTGTGAGTTTTGTGGTAACTGAAGCTAGTCTATTCCGAATCTCTGAAGCTTTGTAGTTGAAACTGTCATAAGACTATTTCATCTTGTTAAATGAACATCTCCAGAATTTGTTAGTCACCCTGGGATACTGGATATAAGGACCTATCCCAATTATTAACTCTGTATTGTGGACCTTTTGTGAACATTTCAAAGTGCATGCACAACTTTGGTGAAAGCCAATGATAATGTAACTAACTGAAATGAAGAATAAAGGGTAAATGAGTTGGGGATGAATTTAGATCCTAACTATTAAATGGCTCATTTTTTTTCTTTCCTTTACTTTTTTTTTCCTTCTTTGTTTTTACCTTTTCACTTTCCTCTTGAAGTTTCAATATCTGTTTTTACCCTATTCGTAGAAACACCTGCTCCAGATTTCCAGATACAGAATTTAGGATAAATGAGTCTTGTCAGATACAAAAATATATGATGTGTGTGTGTGTGTGTGTGTGTGTGTGTGTGTTTGTGTATAGTCAGATATAAAGGTGAATTTTCTTAAGGTAGAATGAGAGCAACAAAACATTCTGCCTGTTCAATATCCTCCATTTCCTAATGTCTGTTATAATTCTGGATCTGTGTTAAAAATACTTGTCATAGAATATTTCCTACCAAAAGTCATCTGGTCAGAATAACACCTGATGTTTACATGGTGTTTAGCAAAATCCACAAAATGCTTTAAATACATGACTTCATTCGAGCTTCAAGTATTCCCATTTTACAAATGAATAAACTGAGGCAAATAGACGAGATGACTTGCCCATGGTTAAACAACTAATAAGTATCAGAGGCAGGAATGAAGTCTGTGATGTTTAAATTGATCTTTATATCAAAATTTAAAATAGTACTCTCTCCCCTCCATATATTTATTTCTTCCTTTAAAAATAGTGATCCTACATCCTCAAACTATCTTTAAGAACCTATCCTGTTAATATTTTTGGATAAATACCTCTTTCTGAGACTCTTAAGAGGTTTTACTCCATGTCTCTTCAGTTTGAGTTTTCTTTGCTTCTATAATTCTCCTGTTGCCGAAAGGTAACCTCCATCCTTTTACCTAGTAACTTCGCTCATTAACTTGGACTGTTTACCTGCTGATTAGATTTAATTCAGACATACCACAGTTAACATTTAAGCTATTCTATAGCATTACTCTGCAAATTATCCTATTGTTTTTTCCTTTTTTTTTTTTTGGTGAGGCAATTGGGGTTGAGTGACTTGCCCAGGGTCACACAGGTAGAGTAAGTGTCAAGTATCTGAGGTTGGGTTTGAACACAGGTCCTCCTGACTCCAAGGACCAAGCTCTATCCATTGTGCTATCCTATTTTTTTTAAAGTCGACCTGAAAAATTCCAAAAGTATAGACAAAATTAGGTAAGAAAATGTGACAATTAGAAACAGCTAGGTAGTATAGTGGATAGATTGCTGGGCCAGGAGTCAGAAAGACCAGAGTTCAAATACAGCCTGAGACACTTACTAACTATGTGACCTGAAACAAGTCACTCTACTTCTGTTTGCCTCAAAGGAAAAAAAAATAAACAAACATGACAATTGCTAAGGAAATAATACCCCATGATATGTTAGAGGAGTTTCTCTATTACAGTTTGCTGGATAAGTAATTGGCATCTGGAGTGAGGAATAATTGGCTTTAATACTAGTTCAGAAATCACCCTGCATGGCCCTAGACAATTTGCTTAAACTTTCTATATTTAGTTTCCTTATCTGTAAAATGGGGATAGTAATCCTTCAGTCTACTGATTGCTGTGAGAATAATATGAGATAATATATATAAAGTGCTTTGTGTCAGGTATTATTAAAAGTGTTAATTAAGGAACTATTAAGAGACTCAGAAAAAGGAATTTGTCCAAATAAAGTTATAAGGATAAATTTTTAAATATAGTTCAAGGATATAGGATCACTGCAAAAGAAGGGAAGAAATATATGGAGAGGAAAGATAGAGAAGGACTTTTTTTATATAAAATTTTATATAAAGATTAGAATTAAAAAATTATGAAGGAATTAAACAGCATTCATTTTATTATGAAACTAAATCAGGCAGCATTCAGAGAGAAATGATTCTAGAGATTATGAATATATTAAAAGACTA